ACGTGAACCTCGGGAGAAAAATCATCGTGTCAACCTTTGTTCTTCCCGTTGGTTTGCATCCCCATTACACAAGCTTGCAATTACTTATATATACATCTTAAGCTTGTGTAGTTGCTCTTGTAATTAGATAGCTTGTGTAGCTAGCTAATTACCTTCTTGCTTGTGTAGCATAGAAGTAGCTCCCTTGCGTGGCTAATTTGGTTTTAGTAACCTTGTTAGTCACATTGCTTAGTTTGTGTAGCTAAGTATTTGCGCTCTCTAATTAGGCATTGGTTGCCTTGTTATTGAGCATTGCTAGTGAGCTTAGTTAGCTTTGTGCTTTTGCTTACTAGCATGTATAGGAGCTCCCTTGTTACTTAAAGTACTAGTGGCATAGGTTTGTGTGACCTTGCTCCTAGAATTGTTTAGGAGAGCTCTAGCTAGCCCGGCACCTTAGTTGCTTTATTAGTATCTTTGCAAGGTGCTAGTGAATATATAGAGAGGGGTGTAGTCTTGGCTAGACCGATTGTTTTAATTCCGCATTTATATCGGTTAGCCGACGCGATTAATTTTAGAAAAGACTATTCACCCCCCCCCTCTAGTCCGCCATCTCGACCCTTCAACCGTCCCTTCAAACAACACTCCGGGCACCATCTGATACAGGGGAAGCACGCGCGCCATCAGCGGCGCAACCCTCCACGCATGGTAGGCGCCGATAATCCCTGATCCCTTCACACCCCTGTCCTTCAGAGTTCGGAGGGCGGCAAGAAGGCCGTTGAGGTGCTTCTTTTCCTTGCCCGTGACACCCCACCCCCACGACCCTGGGGTCTCCACGATGTAGCGCCCAGTGAAAACTAGCAAGGCGGCGGCGGCGTTATTCTTGACATAGAACCATTGCAAATGCCACCCCTTGTTGGAGGTGGACAGATGCATTAAATGGTACGCTCCTGCCCAGTTGCTGCGGAGGTGGATGCTGGCGCACCCCACCGGCGCGTGCAGCTCTTGCTTCACGACCCACCTCTTCAGAAGATTGACGGCGAAGAGATACCGCCACATGTCAAAGTGAGGACTGATCCCCAAGAACCCCTCGCACAGGGCGACGAACACCGCAATGTGCTGGATCCCGTTGGGGGTAAGTTGCTGTAGCTCCACCTAATAGTAGTCCAGCAGTCCCCGAAGGAATTGATGGGCAGGCATGGTGAATCCCCGCTCGTGGAAGTGGGCGAAAGACATGACATACCCTTTAGGCGGCTGCGGCTCGTCCTCTTCACCGGGCAGCCGCCACTCCTCAGCGGCAGTCAACGGGCGAAGGAGGCCTCGGCGGACGAGGCCCACTAGGCGCTGAGCGGAGATGTTGGATCTGTACCCCGGGTCCATTGCGACGGTAGGAGCAGCACGGGGAAGAAGGCAGCAGCGAGTTTGATGGCGGGACACGCGCACACGATCCCTATCCCTTCCCGCAAAAGTCGCGCCAGGCGGTTCGCCTTCCCCAGGCGGACCAGGACTCTCTTCCCACCAAGGGAACACGGGTTACAAAGCCTTTCTCTTCGGCCCGCCTAGGGCCCCGGAGCCCAAAGGCCGTCCCAACGAAGGATGGGCCCGCAAACGACCAAGACTTAAGGACGCGAGCATCACCAGGGCCTCGATCCACAGTCGAGCCCCAGCCAGGCTGGCCCTGAACGAAATCCCCACGAAAGGGATACCACGATTCCCTTAAAAATATCCAGTTGACGAAAAACCAAGTCTTACGGCCTTACCCGCGAAGGGTCCGATACTACCCCCCGGGTGATTCTACTCGAATCACCGGGGCTACCTACCCAAGTGGTCGCTCATGCCTTTCCCTCTAGCGAATTAACTCCAACGAAATCGAGACACCCCGGGCGATTACATCAATCACCCGGGGGTCTCGAAACTTACACTCACCGGAAAGCGCTCGTGCGCACCCTCTAGCGAATTAACTCCGACGAAACCGAGACACCCCCCGGGCGATTCTATCCAAATCACCCGGGGGCTCGGGGGCTACACCCACCGGGTGCGCTCGCGTGCACCCTCTGGCGAATTAACTCCGACGAAATCGAAACACCCCCCGGGCGATTCTGTCTGAATCACCCGAGGGCTCAAGGCTACTATCGGGGACCTAATACCGGGGTACCCAAGGAGGTGGAACTAATAACCATTGAACGTTAGACACTCCTGGACGGACAAGAGCACTACTATGCTTCTTGCCCAAATGACGGGAGTTTGGTTCCGCCTCGCCCGACGCTCGTGGGCCAGCTTCGCCTCACCCGACGGCTGAGGGTCGGCTCCGTCTCGCCCGAGGGCTGAGGGCTAGTCTCCGCCTCGCCCGAGGGCTGAGGGCAGAGTCCGCCTTGCCCGAGGGCTAAGGGCGGGCCCCGCCTCACCCGACGTCCGGGGCCAGGCTTCACCTCGCCCAACGGCCAAAAGCAAGACTCCGCCTCACCCGACGCCCGAGGGCGGGTTCGACCTCACTCGACGACTAAAGGCTAGCTCTGCCTTGCCCCGCGACCGCACTCTGATCCTTCCTAAAGATGAAACACGGGGTACGACAGGACGTACGAGTCAACCACGATGTCGAGGGCCATGCCCTGTGCGACTGCATGAAGGCACCGTCAGAACACGATGGGACGTGCACTTTAAAGCCCTTTTCCTCATAACAATGCCCAAATAGTATTGAGGGCGGCGGCTTTTGTCCCACAGTGTAGTAGGCGCCGCCTTCAGTCCTCGGGCGCGGATACTAACACCGTCATACAACGACCGCTACGGCCCAAGATAGAACTCACATCATCTACAGTAATGGACGTATGGTCGCTTCCCCGATTACTCCCCAGGGGTCACTGCTCGGCTCTCCGGCACGCCGCACCGTCCGCCGGCATGGGATGGGACGCACCCACTTGCTAAATGGGGCCAGGGCATGGTCTACGAAGATCAACAAACATGCCACTTCTGACACGGTCTGCCATGTTAAGCAGGGCAGGCGCGGGAAAAAGGGAAGACCCGGATCCTTCGAAGGACCTCCTATACCCTAGGTATTTTTTCCTTTCTCCTATCTGTAACCCCTGCCCCCTCGGTCTATAAAAGGGAGGGCAGGGCTCTCCACTGAAGGGGCCGACTTTTGACGAACAACTCACACACAGACGAACTCATAGAGAGTTTGATTCGACACATCACGCACATAGCTAGGCCGCCACCAGGCTCTTGTCATCCTTTCGACCATTCCATCAGAGACCTAGGACTAGTCCCTCTCTCGACCGTTTGTACCCCTACTACGAACCATTTTCATGCTAATAACACGAGCAGCAACAGACTGGACGTAGGGACATTCAACCCGAACCAGTATAAACCTTGTGTCCTTTAGCGCACCATCCGGGCCTAACGCGCATAAATATAAATTTACTAGCCGGTGTTTGTTCGAAACACCGACAGCTGTAGATTTTTTTTTTGCCAAAAATAGAAAACTTTCTAGAAAAGGAAAGTTGTGGATTTTTTTTTTGCCAAAAGAGAAAAGTCGCGGGAGCTGTCTGATCGAGATTAGAACTTGGTGAACATTCGCTGTTTAGTGGCTTCACAATCTGTGAGCCTTATTTGATAGGGCTGGACAGATGTATCGTTGCCTAGAAAAAAATGGCTCCTTCTGAGTTCTGCCTAAAACATAAATTTCATTTATTTTCACACTAAAAAGTCACATGCATAGTCCGGAAGTTGCCCAAATGGACATATCTAGGCAGAAAATCTAGTCTTGATTCAACTAGGCTTTTTCAGGCTTGGCTCGGCCTAACTTTTGCTAAGGTCCCACATGTAGGTCTACAGTATTCTTAACTATTATTATTTTCCACTCTCTTTGAAAAGGATAAGACACCCACTAGGGGTGATTTTAATAGGGCTTTTGCAAATTTTTGGCAGCATACGATAAACCACTTAGCCAAATTAACCTATATATGCCTAATAAGCTTTACAAAGTGTGAGCATTTCAACACGCAAAAGAGTTTTGCAACCTATGTTTAACCCTACTCCACAATCCTCATAAAGTAAATTGCGAAATGCAAAGAGAGGGTTAGGAAGATTCTATTTTCCACGAGAGATTTATGTGTTTATACTCTTCATAAGTTCTTGCTGGAGCACCTAGAACATTTTTTAATGAATCCATATCATTTTCTTTTAGTAGAACAATATTCCTGGTTCACGCAAACCATTGTTCCATGTTCAAGACAACAATATTCTTGGTTCACTTGAAAATTATCACATGTTGAAGAAGAAATTGTTTCTAACTCAAGTGAAAAGTGTTATAGCTTTATAAGAAAGATTCTCTAGTTTATTCTAATTTCAAGGGAAAAGCTCTTCTAGCTTCAATGGAAAAAAATGTTCAATCTCAATGAAATATAAAAAATATTATATTTGCTCATTTTGTAATGTAATGTTAATATCATTATTGTCTTACTTATCTGAAACTAAAATGTTCCACTAGGCATTGTCCCAGGATGAGGCTAAATACGAAATTAATAGGAAGAATAAAAATAAGAGAGAGAGAGAGAGAGAGAGAGAGAGAGAGATAATAATAAGATAAAAATGCGTGGAAAAGAACGGCCCAGCACAAGGCCCGTGCGGCTGCTCTCCCCTGGGCCGAACAACCCCGGACGGGCCTACGGCCAATCGCCGTCCGCTGCATCCGTGATTCCATTCACCTTCACCCGCTTGCGCTCCCTCTGCGCGACGACTGGGTGGGCAGTGGGCTACCGCCGCCAGGTGCCGAGGCCTTCGTCGGTCTCTTCGCCGGCGACGAGCTCCCACTAGGTATTACCACCCCTTCTCTTCCTTTCCTGCTGTGCGAAACCGACAACCCAAACCCTAGCTTAAGTTATTTGGCTATTTGATGCCTACTAACTTCGATTTTTTTTTTTTATTTTTTGCAAAAATTATTGGTGTACATTGTACACTGTTCTGCCCTGCCCTCGGTGCTAGCGCAGTAAATTTTCCAAGAAATTTTGGTGTTGAACTGAACCCCCATGACACAAGCTAAGCCTGCCCCTGGTGGTAAGAGGAACTGGAGCAGTGGTGGGACTGCCGCTGGAAGGAAGAACAAGGAAAGAGGAGATGACAAAGCAAAAGGGCCCAGGGTTGCTGGTTGGAATAAGGGCGACAAGAAGAAAGAAGACAGAGGGCGCCAAGTAAGCGCGGAATCTACCAGGCGATGGAGTGAGGGAGTGCCCCGGGTTGGTATGAAGAGGGCTGTGTCTGGGTTTGACAGGAGGAAAAGGAAGATCGATGATGACTCGTGGGATGATGGTGGTGGTGGTAGTGGCAAGAATGTTTCGCCTTCCAAATCAAATTTTACCAGAAAGACTGCTTCCACGATAAGCTGTCGAAATGATTCTCCTGGAAAAGTTAACAGATTGAAGTCTCAAAGTTTGCATGAGGATGACTACCGTTCAGGGAAAAGGAGTACCAGCAAAGTTTCTGATATTAGTAGAGGGGTCAAGAGTAAACTTGGGAACTCAGTAGCATCCAAAGCGAAGAAGTTTGATGCAACCAAAGAAGTCAGGCGTACAAAGAAGGGTGGTGCTAAAGAAGTTGATTTGGATGAGGAAGCTGCTGATAGCAAGAAGTCAGATGACTCGGGTCTTATTACTGAAGAAGAGAAGCCTCGCCCTCGTCTTACACGAGTACTGGACCGGACTGGGAAGAAAATAAAGCCTGCTAAGAAGGTTGTAGTTCCTGACACTGAGGAACCTGCTCCTCCTAAGAAGAGAAAGCGAATGAAGCTAGATCCTTATGACACTTCGAACAAACGGATTGAAGATTCTCCTATCCAGGATGGTACGAACTCTGTCTTAACTTTTAATTGTTCAGATGACTATGCTTAATGTTACTACTTATTATATTTGTGCGTATTTATATTCTTCTTAGTGTTGTTGTTTCATGTGCACAACCAACTAAACCCTTCAACAGTAAAATGGCCCACTTTCTTGAATCTCTTTCTCTAACCTGGAAATAATGTTCTACTTCCTATCACTCAATGCAGCAGATGAAATATTCTCGTTTTTGAATAACGGTACTAAGGTCGGGCTAAAGGAAATGTAGAGAGTTCCTGTATAATATCAAATCTCCTTATAAATGTACAGCATTTGAATGATGTGAGGACAGCTCTTTCTAAAAAATGTTGAACTAAAGAATTCATGAAGAAATCCAAAGAATGCATACAGCATACCCACCGGAACCTCTTACAAGGTCATCATAATTTAGTTGTGTTGAGAAGCTAGCAAATTGAAAAAAATTTGGTCTACTGAGTTCTGAAATTTTAAAAGTTTGTGTTTACTTGTTTCCACTTTTTATCAACATATAAACTATTGGTCTCTGAAATAATTTTTGTGTTGAATATGTAATCTGGTGCTTTTATTTGGATGTGTTTCTTCTCCTTTTTCTTTTTTTTTAATTTCCTTTTAAAGTTTCCAGTGCAGAGAAGGTTCTCGTGAATTGTACACCTGAAGAAGAGACTGAAATGTCAATAAATGCAAAATTTCGTGCTATACAGCCAAGTTCCTCAATCCTTTCATATGTGGAAGATAATGTATGCACGATTTGCCTCTCATCAACCTTCTACCCTTTGATTGCATGTGTGACATTCTCTTACTGTTGTTTGCAGTTACTAGGTCGGAGGCGGTTAAATGAGATAAAAAATGCTGGCTACAATGTCAAGATTTCTGCTCCATTCGATAATGTTCCCTTCTCAACCAGCACAGAACGTGAACGCATAGAAGAAAGTGTAAGGAATATGCTATATTATCAGTGCCATAAATGTACCTTCTATTTTTGCCATAAGTCATTGTACAGTCATATCTGGTACCATATAGTTTATAATGTTATCTCGCAGCCTGTTGTGTGGATTGCATGCTTCAGTTAGTAATTGTTGTTCACATAAAACAATTAACAGGCGTTCAGAAATAAGCTGGAATTCTTTGCCGCTGCAAAGATCTCTTCATCATTCCCCACTCCAACGCTCCCAGAGATAGCATTCGCAGGTAACTGAAGGAAACAAAAATGTTTTAGTTGTTTAGGTTTATCAATTATCTCTAACTGTTAACCCACTGAAATATTAGGTGTATCAAATGTTGGTAAATCCTCACTCCTAAATTCACTTACAAGGCAGTGGGGTGTTGTGCGAACATCAGATAAGCCTGGACTTACTCAGGTATGGCACAATGAAACTGTGGAAAGAACAGAGAGGCAAGCAGAGTGTTGCTTGTTTCATTCTAATTGATTATGGGCCCTTAAACTTCTCGTTCATTCGCTTGCATTATTCTTAATTGTAGACAATAAATTTCTTTCGACTCGCATCAAAGTTGTGTCTTGTTGATTTACCTGGATATGGTTTTGCTTATGCAAAGGATGAAGTTAAGGAGTCGTGGGAGGAGCTTGTAAGTACCCTGAAATCTGAATATTAGACTCCGACTGAATCTTGAAATGCTGCATTGTGCATCAAGTTGATACTTGATATTCTTGGTTCTTACAACCAGTCTTGCGAATTGTAGGTGAAAGAATATGTTTCGACCAGAGTTGGCCTAGAAAGAGTGTGCCTTCTTGTGCACACTAAACGAGGAATGAAACCGTTGGACTATGAGCTTGTAGAATTAATGGAAAGGTGTGTGGTGCCTTTATTGGGCCTTTCTTGCAAATACACTGTCACTTTTTTTGTTTATTTCCTTGATGCAAGTATATCATTGTCATGAAATAAGAATAATTAATTGTCCTATCCGTCTTCTCAAAACTATATTATTGCTAGTGTGGCTTCTTTCTCTGTAATTTATATGTTCAAGTGCAATTGTAGGCACAAGACGCCATACCAGATTGTACTGACAAAGACTGATTTAGTTTTCCCAATAGATGTTGCTCGCCGTGCCATGGAAATCCAAGAGGTTTTCCCCCCATCAATCTATCCTGCTATATGCACGTTTCAGTTAATTAATCCCCTAATAGAATTGTTTATGCACTCAACTGCAGAGCCTGAAGAGGAACAAGTCAGTGGTAAACCCAGTGGTGAGCTTTTGAATTCACTTCTCTTTTTTTGTGTGTATGTGCACTTTGCTTTTGATGAATACATTGCTGTCTCATACACTGAAACTCCATGTAGATGATGGTGAGCTCTAAAACAGGAGCTGGCATACACAACCTGAGAGGCGTGCTTGGAAAATTAGCTCGCTTCATCAAACCGTAGCAAAGCTGCAGCCAATTTTGGACTCTGCATCAGTGGAGACCGTGAGAGGAGACTTGGCACAGGGCGGTGTCATAAGTAGGTGCCACTACATCAACACTCTAACCAGTCCACCGCCAGTTGTGACTATCCAGACTTGCAGCAAGCATTCCTAGTTAGGTTGTGATTCGGAGCCTAGCTGCACCACAGGCTCAGATTCGGGTAGGATTGAACTGTTCGACTTTTGAGTGGATTATGCGATGCAGGGATCAAACTCACAGATTAATTCCATGCAATAATTGAGTTTCCCCCTTTGGATATACGGAATCATACATCCTTTAATCCGTTATGCATCGTTCCTTATGTACAATACATCTTCAGTGATGATCCATCAGTCATTGATGTTTTATGTTCTTCCCGGAAAAGATATACCCCTGGCTGTGTAAATTCTGTTTTACTCTTTAGTGCCAACAGCAATGGCCTGTTTGGTAGGAGTATTGCCAATTGAAAATTTGACAGTGCAATGCTCTGCTAGACTGCTACCGCTATGGCGCTACTTGATCGGCTCCGAACCAAACCCCAATCAACTGTCTTTCTTGTGATTCAATGTCCGGTAACCCAAACAACCCAATGCTATTTTAGTTTATTAGCTATAAGCCTGTTAAAATCAGTTTGCACAGAGTGAGGAACGATTGGAAGAATGAAGCCGGAGGTCCAGTTATTATTCAGTCTCGCTGTTCCATCCTTCCATGCACTTGCACAAGCCTTACATTTTTTTCTCCCTTTAATGTTATACATTATACTCAAGGGTAAAGTGGTAGGTTTGTGAATTGTGATTTGTGAAATTATAATGTACTAGCATTTAGGGATAAAAAATACTTGTTTGGTTGGTTGGTGTCATAGTTTGTCACGTCTTATCTTTGACAAACTGTGGTTGCTACGGGCGAGTAAAAATTAAAATCAAAGTCATACTTATGGTGAACTGTAGCAAAATGAGTCTTAAGACATGCGAGATAGAATGTTAAGAAAGCGTAGCGTGACAAGTTACTGTCATGAACCATACATGTAGTGTTCAGAATTGTAGCGTTTGGAATTGCTCATACTGCAGTTAGCATGAGTCTAGAGTTTGGGCAGCAACGCATGTTTCTTCCCGTGCAGGCTGCACAGTACAGAGGGGAGCGCATGTTTCTTCGCGTGCAGGCTGCACCGCTGCACACAGGGGAGCCTCGAGTCCGGGAACAGGCTGCACAGAGGGGCGCAAGGGCAATTCACATGTGGAACGGTGTTGGTCCGACTAGAGCACTTCGCGGCCTGAGTAATAGAGCTCTATACATTACGGGGCATATTTAGTAGAGCTTCACTATCTTACCATCTTTCACTATCTTGATTCTCTGAGCAAGTGGTTTTAACGGGAGAGCAAATTGAAAAATGATTAGTATTTCTAAATGAAGATTAAGTGGAGAGCAATGCGAAATGGATGACCCTGAAGGCATCATGCGACATAACAATCAAAGACCATCGAATGCAAAACTAAATGCAATTGCAACAAAGCAACCAGAATCTTCATAGCTTCGTATGGCAACATATATTAAGTCAGAAGACAACTTAACAGCAGGAATCGATGACAAGAGTGAGAACGGGTCTAACCACAAATTGTACAAGTTTAACATCAAGGGGTTACAGTAACATTGGTTTCTCAAAACAGGAAAAGTCCATTTTCCCATAGGTGACAAAACTAAGCCCTGAAACGCATTCCTGAACTTAGGTACGAGGAGCTGCTGCAGGGGCAGCTGCAGGTGCGGCACCACCTGGGCGCGGTGCACCCTGTCCTGGCCTTGGGCCGTCATCCTGTAAGGCAAGTAAACAGAACCATCAGTTTACGTTTGTTTGCAAAAGATGGACTGAGTATGTTTATTCACAAATCTGGCAAACTCCAACAGCTATGGCGGACAGAATGGTGATAATCATAAACAAGGGACAATTCAGTCCCAAGACATTTGATACTAGCCCACATGTGGTCTTTCAAAGCAAGGTATCATGTCACAAGTAATTGATTTATAGAGTTGAAACTACAAAAAGCATGGCGTGTTATAACAAATCTTACCAACTACTGAATGTAAAGATGTGAAAATTATATTAAAAATGTGTGCCTTGAAGAAAGTTATGACTGAACAAGAAAATCTGTCATCACATACAAATCTGCAGTGCACCAACAAATGTTTGTTTACGCTTTCGTTCACGCATCCATTGCAATATATACAGTGAATGCAACGCCTATAAAAGCGATAATAGCATACCAATAACACCAAGGAACACTTTCTATCTGGAGATAAAAATAGAAAGTTTTTACATGTCGCACGAAGCAAGGCACAAGAAATAGCTTTATCAAGTACCAAAGAAACATAAAATAGTAGAAATTGGACAAATAGTGGCATGCCAAAATGTGTGAAATTTATATTCCAATGTGTGCATTCAAGAAGTAATGACTGAACTAAAAATCAGTCATCACAGGTATAAGACTGCAATGCACCAACACATGTTTATATACGCTTTCGTTGACGCATCCATTGCAACATACACACAGTGAATGCAACGCCTATAAAAGCGACAATAACATAGCACTAAGAGTATGTGGTCGCACAATTTCAATAGAGTTATCAGGAAACAATCAAGTTCAGACAAAACATAAGATACAATTGATATGGCTATAAAGATAAGCATGTGCAAGAATTATACCCGGCGCCTGAAGCGCTGCGGAGGCTCACGGTTCCTCCTCTTCTCACGAGAGCGGACACGGACAATGTGCGCATGGATTGCGCATGAGACACAGTGATGAACCTTTGCGTACAATTTGGGAAGAACATATCCTGTGCAAATGAACATATTAAGGACAATTTCTCTAGATAACCAATAATTAGATTATATTAAACTAAATTATGCAAGAAATAAGGATGTCTACAGTACCATCATGCACACAAGCCTCCTGCACATCTCTCACCGCAGCCTGCTCAACAATGTTCCTCACCAAGAACCGCTTGATAGCCTTATCCTGTAAGTACACGAAATGTCATATATCTTCTACAATATGCACAGTTCAGAACATAATTAAGCTCTAATATTGCAATGCAAGTCAAAATATGCCTGCGCACATTGCATCTGGTTTCAATATTACCAAACCACAGTTCATAACATCTCTATTCCGAGAGAATCAAAGCGACAAAACATAAGGCTAAATGGACAACAGAGTTGCAGCTATGCATGTGCATAGCAGAATAACATGCTGAGTTTCACCTCAGTGCAAGTATGTAACTAGAAGTATAATTGTAATAAATCCACAACAGAAAGTTTGACTTTCGGCAACTTATTAGGAGATGATTTATCGGAAGTACAGGTATAACCAAGAAAATCAGGTATAAAAATCGTTTGCATGCATTGTAATCGTAAGAGCTATCAACCTTTATAGCAACTAAACAATGTGGCGAACGAGGCCATGCAGTACTATAACTACAGGCTCCAGTACTACTTTCCCTGCAGCTAACAACGGCTCGATTCATCCATCACAAACAACCACGCTCTAAGGGAAGGGAATGGTTACCTTGGGACAGCATTTGGCGCAGTTGGAGCAGCGGATGTACTTGACGTGGCCCCGCCCGTGCTTGTTGCGTCCGCCATTCCTCCGCTTGAACGTCTGCGGCAACCAACCAACAACAAAGGTTAGACAGCAACGACGGCGAGGAGTGACTGAGGAGGGAGATGGTCTCGGAGAGCTCACCATGGCTGGGGGAGCTCCAAGCCGCCGCTGAGGAGGGCTAGGGTTCGCTGCGTGATGCGGCGGCGGCGGCTCGAGCGGGGTGTGCGAGAACGGGGCGGGGGCAGCGAAGAATCCAGCATTTTATAGTGCACCGGGAACCCTAGTGGGCTTTATCCTGCAGTGGTTTATTCCTGGGCCAAGGTTTGGGCCTCTAAAAGTAAGACCCTAGATGGCCCAGCAAGCAGTTTACAGCAGGCCACTCGAACTATTTGGCCCATCTACTAAAACATGGATAAGTAGTTTACAGCTCCATGTCCCTTCACTGTTTTTCTCTTCCTGTGATTTTTGTTCTTTTCTCTATTGTGTGCTTCAATAAGAGGATGATGATTCGCGTGTGACATGTGCACTTGTGCCGTGGTCGAAAGAAACATCTGGAAAGAAAAAACACCAAGCTGAAATCTCAGAACCAGTCAGAATTCAAATGAAATCCCAACCCCGGCTCTATTCGGCTGCTCGTAAAGTCGTTTGTGCTGATTTATACGGCTGATTTGTTGGGGGAGAAAAATACTGTATCATTGCTTATAAGCCGGCTTATAATGGTAGCCGAACTTACCCCATTTCCTGTCACTGTTTAGCCAGAAGATTCCTGTAAATAACATAACACTCGACAAGACGCGATGGTGCTCAGCTCAACGGTGACGCCAGTGAGCTGTGTGGCCAAGTGGCCAACCACACCACAGGCACAGATTGCCCTGTCCGACGGAGAGGGAACCCCCAATAGTACAGAGCGGGATACATGCGACGCACAGTGCTGCGTATCGGAGACGATGACGGGTGGCTGGTGACGCCGCACCTGCACTCAACCTCCTCGTGGAAATGGGGAAAGAACAAGTGCACGCGTGATTCAGGAATCACCTCTGTGCGGCTGAGCTGGAATAAAGCAAATCACCTCTGTTCGGCTGAGCTAGAATAAAACCAGCTGATCGTTTTTAACTGATTTATTGTGGAAAAAAAATATTGTACTAAAACGTAAACAGTATTTTCTGAGGAGAAATCAGCCGGCTCCAGCCAACCGAACGAAGCCGCGATAAGCCTGTGCCACAGATGGTAGTAGTAGGAAGGGGGGGGGATCGATGTTGCAGGTCCGGACAGTGACCTTCCACCAAACATATTATTATTAGTAGGAAATAATTTCCTTATATAGAGTGCATTTTATATATTCTCGGAAGTAGTTACTCCCATAATCAATAAATCACGTTGCGTATATGTACGT